CGATGAAAATTGCTGGTGATTTTGTGATGGCCATTTTCCCTCCTTAACATATTTCCTCCTGAAATTTGATGTCACTGTATTAAAGAAAATCCTGCTACCTGTATTTTCGACAGTAAGAAGGTCACGCTATGGGATGTTATTAAATAAAACAATATTACTGCTTTAACAGTCTCCAGTCGCCTTCTACAGATTCACACGGCGTAGCCTCACTGCCTCCCGTTGAAGAGGGAGCCTGAAAATGATGCAATAACCTGACCGATATACTGATTCGGTAGTAGTCCTCACTCACTGATGATATCTGTGAAGTTCAGAACCTCGAACATCAGAAAGTGTCGAATTTTCTGAATCTTTTGGCTGGAAGACTGAGGAGACTTTGGCAATAGTTCCAAAAAGCTAGCACCCAAAATGGACTGCCAAACAGCCATTCGTCACTGATGCACATCAGAGCGCCTGAAGGACTCTGTTCTGGAACGTACCGAGTTTTCGACTCGTTGCCTTTACCTCTAGTTTGAAGCTTGCCAAAATACTACACAGAGAGTGTGAAGGATCGCCGAAGACTTCTTGCACACGTTACTGACTTCAGCGAAGTTTAGTTAAAGGAACTCATTTATTTAAAGATACTCCAAAATAAACGCAGACGTGAAGGTCACGAGGAAAGCAATGCAGAACTGCAAAAATGAGTCAAAGAAAGCAATTGGGGCATTTTGCTGACAGCCGTTTAACGTAGAGAAGCCTTTCTCATCTTACCGACTATCAATTGAACGTAGTTTATCAATCAATGAATTGCATATCAAATCGAAATGTATGGAGTACATATTCATTAGCAACTACTATTGATGCAAGAACAAAAAACCGTGAATTCACCATCTTGAAAGCCGCAATATTCACTGTGTCATCTATCTGTGAAAGGTCATGAAATTCGTTTCGACAGCTTTCAAGAAGGTGGTCTGAAATATTTTTAAAGGCAATCAACCTGAGGATACAGTGTAGTCACGAATCAATATCTGATGAGGACTGAGGTCTTAAACATAAAAACTCTCAAAAACGAATGCCCTCCTTGGTTTAGTAAATTAACTTAACTATAACGAAGGTTTTGAAGGTAATCAAAGCAGGACGAACACGGAAAGAGCTTAGCACAGAGAAAAAATCCTATGCGATCAGCTCAGCATGGCTTCTATGACTACATCTTAATAAAAGACCCAATAAACTAAGCTAAAAATTCCAAGAGGAAAAAACTTCAGTTATTAAAACGTAGCAAACGTTGTCACGTGATGGTATCAGGTTCAACTGGATGTGGTGGCCTTTTCAGTCAAATGACTTGATTCCATGGAAACCTGTCGAGCTTAGTCCCGTATTGAGACATCGTTCGCAATGTTTTATTAACGTTCTCTCCAGCTTATATGGTTTCCTCAGCGGCAAATCTATCTTTTGAACTTAAACATATACAGAGCTCAACTCTGACAGCCACTATGCTGCACATCGTAATTTGCATTCCAATCTATTTCATACGCACTGATTACTTTACAACGCTTGATCTTGTTCCAAACCACGTCTCCGAATCGGTAAAGTAAGGGAGAAGGAACTTACAGTAAGTTTGACTGTGAAAACCGCCTTTAAAACTGTTCTCGAATTTGAGGCAGAAAATGAACGAATCTTCATTTTGCTGAGCCTTGGCTTGAGTCAAATGGCAACTAAATACCCAACGAACAACGATCTTTTATTGCTCACAGATCTATCAGTTACTGTTCCATGTACATGTATGTATCCTCGACTTTGAAGAGGAGCGATGGCTGAGTGTCAAAGAGGCGGCTTGGATTTCCGAAAGTGCCGGTATTGAATCCAGAGCAGGAAAAAATTTTTCGTAACCGCTAATTTTCCTGAACATGGAATTTGCTTTACATTGATTTGATGCAACTAGATGAAAAATGGGTGGCTGTTCGCTGCCTTCCGAACAGCTACAACTCACCTGGACCCGCCAAACAGCTGAATTTATATGCAATAATCAGCCCAGGGTGTAACTCCTATAATTGTTCAGATGTCAGGAAAGACGCACGCAGATGAACAATGTTAATTCGTTGGTTGCGAGGTATTTTGCTCAGGTGCCTCGCTGTATTGAGACGCAAAGTCATCGTGAAACTGGAAGACCGAACAATGGATATACACTTTTTCACTTGGTACTAAACTCTTTAAACAATAATGAATCATATGCATCTAAAGGCAATAAAGATACATAAGCGTTAATTTAAAACAAGTGAATAAATTAATTCCCTAGAAACTTCTAGACATGCCTAATGGAAGTCTGTTTATTGTTTTTCCTTCATTCATTAAAACTCTCGTTTGGTGAGAAGTGTTGACTTTTACTGCAACAGAGACCAAAAGATAGAAAAAATCAGAGCATTCGTTTCAAACGGTCAGACACACCACAAACATCAGAAATCAGCCGCGCTGTTCAGGCCTTGTAGGCTTTAGATGACAA